ACATTATTCAAAAAAATAAACAAATAATTAAATTGCTAGAAATTACTAAAAAAATATATATATAAAATATACTAAAAGTCTGGTTACAGGTCTATTAGACTATTTAAACTAATAGTTTAAAAAGTTTTGTTAATTCTAAATAAGAAGACTTAGTAAAAGATAATATCAAAAAAATAAATATCAAAGTTTGAATAAACTTAATAAAGGTAAAAATAGTATAACATAGTGGTTTAATGATTGCAAGTAATAGTTTGATGATAGCATGTTACATAAAACTATATCAACTATTATAAAAAATAAATAAAAATATTTTTTTAATGATTTTATTATATTATATATAAAAAAATTTTCTATATTTTTAATTAAAAAGTTAAAATATATTAACATAATAAAAAAAATAATTTACTATAAAAAAAAAAATTTTCATAATTATAATAAATTAATAATAATTTGTGCAATTAATATTTTTTAAAACTTTACTATAATTAAAATTTAATCTACCGGGTTGGTGAACAGTGACCTTTTTACTATCTTCGCTAATATTGAATTTCTGTAATTATTTATTATATCTACGTGATACGGGTATAAACGTTAAGTGATAATCAATAGTATATCAGCGATTAAAACAGATCACTGTCCAGTTACTTTTCACCAACCCGGTATATTTTTACTATAGTTTAGATTTTCAATTCTAAGTTTTACTAGTAAACTATTAAAAAATATATACGTATATTACTAGTATAATTTAATAATAATATTTTTAAAATACTATATATATAATAACTAAAATATTAAATATGTAAGGGCTAATTTTAATTTGATCTAAGTAACGGAACATAATTCTTGTCAAATTTGAAATGATCTGCAAATTTGATCAGAATTAAAAGTAATCGGTTTTGCAATCAAAATTAGCATATATACTATAATGATCATCAAATAGAAACATACGTATATAAATTTTTTTTACTTTTGTAAATCATTTTTTACATAATTAATATCTGTTACTTATAACAAATTTTTTATTGAATATGTCAATCTAAAAATCCCAAAAATTTAAAAAATTGTCAAAATGGGCTTTTAATATGAAACACTCATAATTTAATAAAACTAAATTATTAATACACTGTACATAACCAAAATTAAATAATAATACGTATCTAACTATATATATGTTAATAATACGCATTTATACGTATAAAACTTTTAACATTTGTCTTATTAAAAAACTAAAATACTAAGTCTTTAAGCACAAATTGATATTTAAACACCAGTAAAATTTGTTAATCCTCGTATCCAAAACGGATTCATCGAACCCAAATTAGATTACAAATATTTACAACGACCACTGTAAAATAACCAAAATTCAGACTGATTTTATTTTAAGAGGATTAACTAAATATAGGTTTTTTTAGAACTCATTTTGTAATGGTTACGCATATATATATATAGAAAGTAAGAAGGACAGGTACGTACCATCTTTAATTAGTCATAATATATACATAATACAAATTTTATATCGCCGATTTGTAAATCTACAGGGTTATTACAGTTACGTATTACATATGTATGTACGCTAATCTATAGAGGCCCCTGATGTAGAACTTAATAAGTTGGATAATGTATGTACAGTACATACGTACCAGCATCACATTTTACTCGGGGTAATGTACCGGGAACATACCTTGCCATATAAGCCATTTAACACAATTTTCATTTGAATTATCATGACTCACAAATACGTAATACGGAAACCAGCTAGTAACAGGTTTATCGAATGATACTAAATTGTATTCGAAACGACAGTGACCAGGTCATTATTGCATGATGCACAGTATGCAGTACGAACTTTGGTACTTACATACCAATACTGATACGTACATTATTAATGACACGTGATTACAAATTAGTTCTGAAACTGTACTGCATTAGTTCACCGTCGCCATCAAATATAGAGAACGTCACATGCATAGAATCAATGTAAATCGTATCAAACGAAAGAGGTAAGAACTTGTAAAATGTTCCGACGGAAAAAATCTAAAAAATTTCCTCTCTTGGCATCTATGTAAAACATATATCACGAGACCCAATTAAAAAGCACATTATTTATTGTCACAGCCCATCATACATCGACATGGTCTGATCAAAATTTTTTTTTGCATTGCTGATCAGTTTTAAAATAGAATTTATATTAACCTATTTACTTATAAAAAGGATTGATGTTATCTGGATCTTTTCTCGACAATTTTTTTTCTAATCTATTAATTTTTTAATCAACGTTTACTGTTATATGCCTATAATAACTAAAGACAATACATACCTGAAAAGGAGACGAATAAAAAAATACATAATCAAACTAATCAAACCAATTAAACCAATAAAACCATAGTTTACACTTTCGAAAAAAAACTTTTGATACAATGTCATCCGGAAAGCCACAAAGCCCTTCGCCCCTATCACGATTATCTCTCTCGTCGGCACCACCACTTAAGACTCTTCCACCAAACCCAAATATTTCTCAACTAGAGAATTTTGCCATGAGCGCTATGGCACCAAGCATGGCGGTTGTATTTACTTTACCATTTGACACCATTAAAGTCAGAATGCAGCTTCAAGGTGAAGTCAGATTTATAAAGGATTCGACTGGCAAGACAATTCGAATTGTTGCTGAAAAGGTATATTTCAAATAAATCATATATTTTATATAATAACTATTATATTTAATTAATTGATAAAATTTTTTATTTTTTTATTTTTATTTTTTCCTTATAGGTTTATAAAAACAGTTTCGATTGTTTAAGAAAAACTTACAAATTCGAAGGTTTACGAGGTCTAGAAAAAGGACTTGTTCCCTCCATATTAAAAGAGAGTTCCAAGAATGTTTTTCGCTTGGTAAAATAACCTCTAAAGTTAAATAAAATAATATTGAGTCATAATTAATATATTAATATTAATTTACCTTTCATTTTTTTAATAGGGACTTTATGATCCAATTCTCGCAGTGATTCATCCAACTGATGATTATACCTCATCATCATCAGCCCCCGCCTGGAAACGAATGTTTGCAGGTGGTTTATGTGGTGCCTTGGGAGCGGTATCAGCGAATCCATTTGAATTGGTAAAAACTCGATTACAAAGCTCTGCAGCACATGCCATTGCAGTTGGAAACCAATATGGTTATACGTCAGTAACTTCAGCATTGCGACGTATTATGTTCGAGGAAGGTGGAATAAAAGGACTTTATCGTGGATCAATGATATCTGTTGGACGGGGTATACTGGGAAGTGCGGCAAATTTATCATCTTATACTATGTTAAAGGATTATGCTAAACGTGAAGGGTATTCTGATGGTATTCCGCTTGACATGGCATGTAGCTTGATGAGCGCGTTCGTTAGTGTAATTGTTATGAATCCTATGGATGTTGTGTAAGTGATATTAATATATAAAATTAATACTTTTTTTTTCTATAATATAACATTAAATTATTTTAATTTCTTTTAACAGTCGAACGCGTTTATACAATACATCATCAATCTCACCGAGGCAATCCTTACTTTCAACCACTAAAACCATTGTCAAGAATGAAGGATGGACAGCTTTATACCGAGGCTTTTGGACTCATTTTATGCGAATTGGTCCTCATTTTTGTTTAACTTTTGTTTTCCTGGAACAATTAAAGCGAGGAGTTAAACAATTTCGCCTTGAAGAATATCAACGTCAGCTTCAAAATTATCATCAAGCAACCACGGATCTTAAGGTGTAACATTAAGTTAACTTATTAGACATTAAATAATATTCATAAACATTTTTATTTCATTTTATTTTATTTTATTTTTGGTTAACATTTTAAATTTTAATCCGTCAAATTCAATAGTCTTCCTTTTCCATACTTTTGTAAAAAAAAAAAAAAAAAAACTTTTTATTTAATTTGATGTAATTCTTTGTGTACAAACTTATGCATTTATTCCAGATAGAAAACGATAAAAACTAATAGAAATATAAGACTAAATATGTTGAATCATTCCATTTAAAATTTTAATAAAATTAATAATTTATTATATAATTATTTAATTTATCTCGATTATATTTTTTTTTTTTGTACTATAAACCCCCCCCCCCCCCCCCCCGAGTTAAAACCATGTGTCGTGTTGCTTGTATGACAGTTCTATTAATGTAATACAAATATGTAACACAATAAAGCCATTGTAGATGATAATTTGGGTGTCCTATGACTCATTTTTTTTTAAATGCATAACCATCTATGTTTAGATAAAACTCGCATAAAAACATAGATTATAATAATATAAATGGAAAATTTATAACGTCATTCTTATTTGTTGCGTCATTTTTTTTCAGATTATTCATCACAGGGATAAGTCATTCATCCTATAAACGCATCGGCCATCTCCGTTTCGGCAAGTCAACTTTTGATGACAAAGAAGAATAAGTCTTGTTAAAATGAATTTCCTTAGATGATTAATATTGCATAATAATAAAAAAAATTTAAATTGTTCTAAAGTATTACTCCGTTATACAGTTCATCCTCGTTATATTTATAGCAGAGTAACACTTCAAAACGATTTAAATTTATCATTATGCTGTATACCTTTAGTGGAGGTCGTTCAAATAATTATAGCGATAGTAAAAGACCCACTGCATCGGATTGCTACACTATACCAAGGGGTGAACCGTATAAAAGACACTTTTTTTTTAGACATGTTATCCTTAAATGGCAAAAATAAATGATTTGTCATCGCATGAAATTGTCACATGCATATTGTGCTTATTTTCAAGAATGGCAATATGATTTTGATTTCGTAAATAAATCTATTTACATTATTTAGAATTAGTACGTTATACGTAGTAACAAACTAACGGACCATTAATAATTAACATCGTGTATATAAACAAATATATATGACTATTTAGTTTTTTTTTTTTTTTTTTTTTTTTTGAATACAAATTTTGATTAGTAATAATGTACATATTTGCGCATTTTGTTTGTAATTGTAATGCAATCAAATTTCTCGGAAGGACAAAGTAAATGTCATGTGAAAATCACTTACGTACGTACATACGTAGGAAATGATTGTGAGAACTTTAATATGAATAATTAAAAAGTATAATTTGTACGTAAAATAATTATAAATCACTATCGCTATAACTTATTTTAAATACGTAGTTTATATTTAAAATAATAGATATTTAAAATTATTTATGGTCTATTTTTAAATGTATTTTTAAGAACTTTAAGAAAACAGAGGTGTGCATTTACAGTGTATTTCTTATAAGCTATATGAGTTTAGAATGTAAAGTTCGAGCAGAGAAAAATTCATCATGCAATTATATTTATTTTGCTAACTGAAACAGGAATAGTAAATTTATTGTTAATTGTTCTATTGTGGATAAAGAAATAAATAGGTTTAGACGCATACATGAATTGTTCAGAATTACTTTATTTGTTCTTATCTAAAGACTCTCATTACCCTGGACTTAAAGACGCTTGTGGCTTTAAATAATTCTGCTATTTTTGTATGTGCCTATGAGGATTGTTTAGAGTCACTTATGTATGTACGTACTTACGTACGACTTATTTGTTTTTTTATTACTCAATTTCCAATATCATAACGTGTGTTTTAAATGTTGAAATATATTAAAAATGGCTTATGACCTGACCCTAGAAAAGTATTTAATAATTAACCCCGATGTGCATTTTTTATTGCTAAATGACTACTAACCTTAAAGTGGAAGTAAATGCTTGAAAACACGTAGTTACAAGCGTTAATTTATTAAGTTTTAAATAATAAATATTTTATATTATATATAACAGAGTTGTTTGCCAGCAAACATACTAACTTAACTAACATTAACTAGCTCAAATTATATCAAGTTCAATATTACTACGCTATATAATGTATTAGATTTGATATAAAATTATACGTATTCAGTCAGACTTCGATATAATCATGGGTCAGTAACCAAAATTTAATAAGTGTTTATACAAAGGTTAAATTTTCTTATGTTCTATCCCTTAAACTGTCAATTTAACTACGTATCTACTACGATTTAGACTACAATTCAATATAATTTGTTAGCTTAATCACAGATCAATCATGAAATTTCTAGGCAAATTTGCCTGAAAAACAGTTTAAGAAATAATAATCAATTATTATTATTATTATTATTATTATTATTATTATTATTATTATTATTGATATTAAAGTAAAATCTTGCTTATATTTTAATTAATAGTTTTAAAGTTAATAATTATCTAAAATTACTAGATACAAAAAGTAATTTTATAATATTATAATTAAAATCAATACTTACAATTAAAATTAATTATTAATTTTATAACTAATATTTTAAATATAAATAATAATAATAAATTATATTTAAAAATAAAAATTTAAAAATAAGAAGCAGTATTTTAAAATTATATATAAACTTAATAGTAAATTTTTTTTATATTTAAATTTATAAAAATTATATTAAATAAACTATTTTAATTATTATATAAAAATTGTAAAGTAGATTTTTTTAATTCTAATAATAATAAAATTATTAAAATTAATTAAAAACTTATTAAAATATTATTTTTTTTTAAATATTAAATAAGTACTTGTAATCCAAAATTTTATTAATAGTATATTTGATTAATGGTTACATTACAATTACAGAAGACAATCATAAAAAGGATATACATCTAGTCACTTATACAACTTTAGTCATTGTCTAATTTAAGTAATTTGTCTAAAGGTTCTACACTAGCTGCCATATCTGGAACCTGCTTATAGATTTCTTATTTAACTATTCTAGTTTCTGTATTCACCCAACTACCTCTGTCTACCAATAACTTTGGTTGATATTAGTAAAAATATGCTATAACTACTAAGTTTTTAAAGCAGTTTTTTGAAATCTTTAATCTTATACTAAACTTTCCAAAATATTCTGTATTTTATTCTTACAGTTGACCCAATATTATCATGCCTAAAACCAATATTGATGATCAGGACATATTATTAAACTGTTATGCTTTTGTAGAGTTCACTACAATTCTAATACTGACTTTATAACATATCTTTACTATTTTGATATTCAATTCAAGTTCTACTAAGTTGTTATTTCAGATAACTAGAAAAAATAGACTATAACTATACCTCTGGTTTATATATTTGTTAGCATATTTTTTTTTTTCAAAATCTAAAAATTTTAGCAGTCTGGTTGGTTCATTTAGTTTCTTCTTAAAGACTAGCATATTTGTCTAATTTTATAAATTTTAGCTTTATTTTATAGGTCTAGTTTTTATAATAGTATTGTCAAAAGTTCAGGTTATCTTTCTATTCAGATTTTTTAAATAGGTTTTTGTCTTTCTACCTAATTTTTGTAATTTACATAGGCTAAAGATTTAGTTTGAGTTTATATCATCTAATACCAGTTTGTATTCCTTTGTACAATATTATTTAAATGCTTAGACCTTTCAGTTATGCTAGTATGATATAGATTACAAGTATCTAATCCTAACTAATCACAAAAGACAGTTAACTGTAGCATAAAAAGAATTGCAAATTTTCATTATCATTAAAATTTAAACTTTAGACCTGCCACTTAGAGGTTGACAATCTATCTACTTTATTAGATCATTATATTAAAATATAAATTTTTAAAAATTAAAATATAAAATTATATAATAAATTAACTTATAGGTTTATATAAATTAATCAAACAAATTCTTTGTTTTTTTACTATTTAAACATATTTTAATACATTTAAGTAAATTTTATTATTTTTTTTCTTTTTATTTAAGCAGTTTTTTTAGTTTATCTTTATTATAATTTTTTGCATACATATATACAAATTTTTGTATAATTTTTGGCACAACATTCTGTGAATACTTTTACAAGCCTACAAGTAATCTGTTTGCACTAACTATTTAACTTTATAAGAAATTGAGTACATCAAGAACTGCATCTGACCACTGCTCTATAATAGAATATTGCTAATTTGATAACATTTTCTTATAAAAAAGTAAACAAAATCAAAAAAAACTTATATAAAAAATCACAAAGATATAAAGAAAAACAATAAAAAATATAATATAAGAAATAAAAAAGAAAAAAAGAAAAGCAAAAAAAGAAAAATATATATATATGCAATTCTTATTATATAACTATTAAATAGTCACAATTATAAGCCTATGTCAGGTTTTTAAAAATTATAAACTATATTGTTTTTCTATTTATTTAGAATATATAACAAAAACTATATAAAATAAAACTTTGACTTAAATATAAAGAGTTGGCATAAGTCATTAGATAGTCTGAAAGTAGTATTTTATAAAGTTTTAGTAGTTTGAGATATGTGTATAAGTTATGTTTATGTTGCTATATTGTTTTCAATCTATACAATATTAATTCTATTTAGAAAATAAATACTAATAACTATTTTGATGATTTTACATATTGATCTTTTGAAAAAGGTAAACTAAATCATCTACTTTTACAAAATTTTTCTTGAAGAAAAGTTGGAGATAACAATTTTTATATGTGATTTTTCAAATAATTTTTACAGTTGTAGTTGCTTCAAATTTTCAATAATTTTGGCTTGAATTTTTTTATAATTGTTTCTAGAATACTTTTTTAGTTTAGATATAAATGGAAAAAAAGTTTATTAAGAAGAAAAGTTTGATCTCTCTTCAAACAACTGCAAGTACACCTGCTTCTTAGTATTTCATATTTATTTTGATTTTGTTGACAACAATCT